TGGGTCAGCATTAACTTCTCCCAATATTGTATACACTTATTGTTAAGTTAAGAGTTTTATTTTAGAGCTTACCCAGAACTGTTCAATTAGGCTTAACACGAGTATGTTATTTTCAGTGTACCTGTAGTTCTACTTATGGGTTAATCACTAATTAAGTTAAATATCTTACTTGTTAATGTCGGTTTGCCTGTGGTTATAATTTTGGGTTGATCAATAGTTAAAATTTTTTCTTCAACATATATATCATGTAATACATATGTTTATTTCGCTACACAATTTGTTAAACTTTACAATATATATCGACTATTTCATTTTCGTCATTCTTTATAATTTATACTTCTTTACTATTAATTTTGTTTACTTTATCCTTTGTACCTGTAATTTCGTTTGTGTGGGCCCCCAGAGGCTGGAGTCCACCCTACCTGCTCCCAATATTGCTTGCCTCCTTCCTCCTATAACATTTCACAGTAGCTTTCCCTTTTCCTGACATTGGTTCATGATGATATTTTTGTCTCTCTTTTGAGAGTGGGTATTTGCATGCCTTGCCCTATACAGGATTTAATTCTTTTTGCCTTAGCTTACCATCAGGCAGATTTTCTTGATTTTATGCCCTTTGGATCTCTGTTAATCCATTTTCTCCCCTGCCTAGTTTTTCAGTTTTGTATTACCCTATCTACTCTTCTAAAGATAATGTTTACCTTCCACTTCCGTTCTTAGGTATTCCACCTATATTTAGGGATTTTAGTGGGATACCTCCTCCTCCTTCCCTCCATGTTGGGACATTTGCCATCTTCAGTTCTTTCCCTCCACACATGGCTTCTTTGCTTTTGGGATCTTCTTGGGTGGGATACTGCTTATAGGGATTTAAGGTCTGTTCCTTTTTCACCAGGCCTGTTTGTAACAGGCAAAAACAAAGTAGTCAATATGATGTAATTTGTAGAATTCACCAGTAGTGGAAAGTATATAAACTCATTAGTACTTTGTAGGTTAAAGTCAAGATACATATGTATATTTTTGTTTATTTGAAGAACTGTTTATTTCATAAAGATCATTAAACTTAATTAGTTTATATATAACACAGTGAACCAGCTATTTGTTCAAGTGCTTTGAGCAGTTGAAGATAATTTCTATACTAATAACATATGGCAAATAATGGTGTATAGTTTTGTGACCCACTTAATATTCCTTTCTTTGTTCTTTAGTGTGCTCTGTACTTCATGCACTTTACATTCAGGATAATTAAATAACATAAAAAGTGTGAATGTACAACTATTATGTATCAACTCAACATAAGCATTTTCAGTTTCTATATCAACTTTGGTTCTCTAAAGTAGTAGAAATTTCATTTAATTATGTGCTTGCTTTATACAAATACTTAATGACATGTTTCTCAAACACTCAATAATATGGTTTTATGTATAGTAATATCTGAATTAAAAATAACATTTTCATAATGAATATCTTCTTATTTTATTAGTGTATGTGAAAAAAGTAAAAAAAGAAAATTTTTGTATGAACAACTGGCCGTGACTTAGGTCTTAATACATTAACTCTTTCATCATGGGCTCAGTCCCCTAGGACCGACCTCATACCCATTTTGTGCTTGTTATAGTTTTCATACTATAACTTTTAAATTAGTAAGTGTATGATAACAAAATTTTGCAGAGTATCAGTAAACATTACAATGCTTTCATATACAAAATATAATTTTTTTTCTTAAGTCTTAAGGTTTGTAAAGCAATGTTTCTCTCATGCATTTTTCTTTTCACATCTTGCTTATCTAACATGCAAAGTTATTTTCATTTTAAGTTTAAAATTACTTTAGAGCATCAGAAAATTTTCAAATTTCATATGCAAAATTTGTATAACGTCCAGATAGTTATCATATATAACTTATGCCTTTTTCATTTTAGAATGACTACAAATTATAACATAAAATCGTAAATGTTTTGACTAAATAGCATAAATCTCAAAACATTATACATTTATTATTTTTATTATATTAACCTTTCAGCTGTGCCTGGCTAACAATACAGAAGTTACAATGACTCATGTTACCGTAACCAATAATATAAAACTGACCTTTAGTCCTTACAAAGTGACCTGTGCTGGCTGTGTTTTAGAAATAAGTTCTTATTCTTCTTAAAATGTAAAACAGTAAATAAAGAAGAAAGCAAACAATTATCTCTTCTAGTTATGACTTTTGTACTCGGTTGCTGCTTGACATAGGTTGCTAAGCCTTCTAAAATTTTGCACTTTGAGGATATGAAACGAACATTTTTTTTAGGTTTTATATATAATAAGTTGAATAACCAAAAATCATAAATTACTATTATCAATACCATAGAATTCCACTATAATTTATCAAGCTTAATAACTAAGCTGTATTTGGGTCTAAAAAAACGAAATTTTGATCAGACTAAAGTCAACCTACATCCTTGAAATCTTGGTTCTAAAAAAAAAGAGATGGCATCCAACAAGTTAAAATGACTGAGAAAGTCACTAGGGAGATATTTTGAGCTTTCAATTGGTTATTCATATCATGTATAGAAGTAAGTGTGTATAAGGGAGCATTTCCAAAAATAGAAAGAGATGGGCAAGGTGCCACCATGTTTGATTTATTACATGAGCAATACCTTAGGAAAGTGAAAAGAGGCTATTATTTTATATTGTAGCTCGTCAATGTCGGTAATTTGAGTTCCTAATTCGTACGAAACTATAGACTTAGTATTTTGACATCACAAACACCGAATTTGAACCAGTGCTGCATTCTACATACCACTTGACACACAAAAATCGATGTTTAACTGTGTTTTTTTTTATATTTACTTTTAAATTAAGAAATTGAGTAAGGTATAACACTAAAATTTGAATTACTATCTACAGTTTCATACCTAACTTTTGACATAAATTCATGAAATAGCAGTTCAATACAATTTTGAATACGAGTCAACAAATGCGATGACATGGCCTTTCACCCGTGACCTGTCTGGAAAGGGTTAAAACATTTAAGAATGGTATATAATTGGTTTTTTAATGTAATTTTTAAATTTTGGATACTAGTAGGCCTAAAATAGTAACTTAGATGCAGTGATCATGTACTCTAAACTCTATATGTGAATAAATGTTCCCTTAGGTCTTTCACTGTCACATTTGTAAGTAATAAAAAATTCTCCCAGTATCAGATTTCTTTTTTGATACACATTAGAAAACAAAAAAGTGCATGTTTTAATATTTCGTTACTTATCTGGAAGTTTGAAGTGGAATACTCTTTCTTCCTGGTGGTACAAAATTTCAAACACCCATGACAGTACTTTAGACAAGGGCATGTATACCCCCATAGCATTGAAATTGTTAAAATATGTACCAATTTGTTAAAGTTAGATTTGGAAACATTTGAGTGCAAGAAAGTCAAGTTTATGCCGACACTTAGCAAAATGATTTTAGTATGTTTTTTACCATATTTGTATAAAAATTCCAAATATTATGAATTTGTTGGAATTTTCATATAAAAAATTAGATGTTACTACATGCTGATACCATTGTCATACAAATCTTTTTTTTTCCAGATTTGTGTATTTTCCTCTTTACAGGCAGTAAGCCATTGTTATGTTTTGTAGGTTCTTCAATATATAATCTTGTTGTAGTACATTTATTTGTAAACTTACACATGGCTGGATTTAATATCAAAAATAAAAAAAAATGATAAAGTTTGAATTACCTAGTTGAAACAAAGATAACTGGAAAAATTTGCTATTAGCCAAAAACAATTTAAATTCTGTTACTACTCCCTGATAGCTTATTGAGTGATGAATTATTAAAGTGAAAAAATGAAAATATAGAAGTTATTTTTTAACAAAGTTAAAAAAATAACTTGATGATAAAAATTTTCAAAAATTATCAATTTATCTCACATTTAAAAAAGCATTTGACAACTTTTTTTGTCATACTCTTCATTAGTAACTGTTAATATCAGAAAACAGCATGACAGAATCACTTCAGTTTGAATGTTAGTTCTATCAAATTGCATATTTATTATAATTTATTTTGTGTATTAAATTAACTTTCATGCATATTAACAAATGTCTGAAGTGTTCTAATTGTACAGTGAAGTAACTTTTTCAGAACTGAAAAATGCTTCCAGAAAGTTAGCAGTGATTCAAAAAAGTGTTACAACTGCTACTCAGCAACAATATGTCAAAGCATAGTACAAGACCAGAAAAGAGAGATTATTTCATTTTCCAGTAGGAAAGAGTCCAGGAATAAAAATATTACTGTTTTATTACACTCCACGAAAACTATGTACAAAATTGTGCTAAAATTAAACTATTTAGTTTATAACAAGATTTTGTGAAAGGAATTTTATAAATTCAGTTCCTAAAAAACGTGTAGAAATTTTCTTTGCTGTATACATTTTTTAATAGATTCATTTGTTTGATTTATATATAGATTTTAACATATTTGATGTTCCAACTTCCTATATATATATAAAAAAAACATTTTCCCACAATTTTTTTATGTTTTAAATTGGACACTTTCTTTATTATTAGAATTCAGTAAATATTTTCTTAAATATTGGAATTTCTAATGAGTAGTTGTGTAAAATGTGTTGGTTGGACTGGTAGTATTTTTATCCTTTGAATCCAGTGGACTTTATGTTAATTATTTCTGTGGTTTTCTCAACTTGTTAAAATAAACAAGTGCATAAGAGTTTTTAAAAATGTTTTACAAGTTTATTTATTAATGTAAAAAGTGAGATGATGTGCTATACTAGCTGTACCTTTATTTATTTAGCATGATGGTACTTTCCTTTAGTTGTAAATAATAACCTTCAGGTTCTTAATTTGATTTAAATAATGTTTATTGACTTTGAAGTAACAAGGAATACTAGTATTATTCTTGATATGTGCTGTCAGTTTGTTATACAGATGGGGTTACAATGAGTATGAGACCAAAGCAATCAGATAAAGTAATTTTACCTGTCATTGTTTTTTCTCCAGGAAGAGGAAAAGTTTCTGGGAGAATTATTTGTTCAGTTGACAGATGAAGCAACAGATGATGAGAAGAGGAGAGATCTTGTGTTATTTCTCAAAGAATTTTGCACTTTCTCCCAAACACTTCAACCTCAAAGTCGAGAAACATTTTTTAAGGTATAGCTTTGGATAATATGAATGTTCATTTTGTATCGTTGTTATTATTATTATCTGTCATTATTAAGTCATACTTTCTCATCAAATAAAATGTATATTTATTTCACTGCAAATTTGCCATCATTATGAATTTCATTATTGCTGCTGTAAATCCTTTTTAAGTTAAGCCTTATATTTAAAAAAAGTTGTTTTCACTTCCAGTAGTGAATGTATTAAGAATGGTTTTGTGTAGTGTGAATTACTTAATTATTATGAATAAACAGTAATATGATAAACTAGCTTTCTCCAGTTTCATCTTAATCTTATTTTTCAACCTAAGTATACATGTCTTATAGTTTGCTTGTACTTGTGCTGTTAGAAAATTACAATAGCTAAGTCTTAAAAACTTGCATAGAATTTTTTTTATGTGTGAAGAAGCACACTGCTGCTTTCATTTAGTTCTGTCTTAGTAATATAGCTCTTTAATAGTATGAAGACAGTCCAGCACATGGCTTTTCATAAAATCCAGATATGCTAGACTTGAGTAGTGATTTTATGCATAGCAATTGGTTTCTTGATTTTTATCCTGTAGCAACACCTTTGTTATTTACAAGTTATTTTATTTAAATTCTAAGCCAGCCCAAAAACTCAAGATCCAGGTATACCCTAACTAACTTCATTACTGTTTGTAGTGGGAAATGGGGCTACTGTGTATTTATTTACTTTCATAGCAACAAGTTCATTTTAACGATCACATAATATCAACAACTGCTTGATAGTATTGCCTGAGCTAACTGCCTTTGGTACCGTCTGAGTCTAAACATGTGCACTGATTGATTGGATTGAGAGAAAGAAGAAATACAAAATGACACAAAATTGGTAACATGTTATACAACCACAACACTTCATTCCTGAAAAATAAGAACTGCTGAATCTGCCAATAAAATTAAGGAAAGAAAGTTTGATTTTGGACTTAAAGAATGTGAAAATAGTTCTGGACTTCCAAGAGTCTAGAACTGATCTAGATTTAAGTTCCATTTAGAACAGCCCTTTGCACGAATAAAATGGGAGAAAATACTAGGCATCATGAGGAAATTTTTAGTCACTGTGACGACCTGGCACCTGTGATACGTCGAGGCCTGTTCTAAGCACAGTTCATATTCATTTATGAACTTTTTATTTTTTAAAAGTTATTGCTTTTTTAGTTTCTAGAATAGAATGTATTTGGTGTATCTAATTTGAAAATCAGACAGTTCTGTTAAGGAACACTGTCTTATAAAGGATTGCTTTTACATTTTCTTCTTGACAGATGAAAAAAGTTATTGGAAAACTACAGCAAGGGTCTTTAATAAGTTTATGTTTAGTTTGCACGATAATGAAATGAAAGCTATAACAAGTGAAAAAATTAAACTAAAATTACATTTTATAATCAGGTTAATTTTTTTTTTTGAATTTTTGATATGAATGATAAATATTTAATCAAGAATAATTGTAGGTAGCAGTTTTTTAAAAGAAATATTGCTGATCAGTATATTTAATTGTGGATAACTTTCAGATTGTTGACATAAAATATTAATAAGTTTAGCAACAGTTGCTGGTATATGAATGAATTTTAAATGATTTTTTTATTTGAGTCAGAATAAAAAGCTTTCTATGCTTAGTAACTGATGCCTTATAACAATGTAACATGTAACAATTATTTCTAGATGCTGTCCAATCTTGGTGTGCTACAAGCATTAGAAATAACTCTGGTATGTATTTTTTTTCATCATCAATGATTTTTTTTATTGATTCGCATTTTACAGTACAGTAGAAGTCTGTATAAAATCTCCCACTATATATTAAATTAAGATTTATTGATGTTACAGTAGCTTAAAGACTTACAGATATTTGGAACAACTTATTTTTACTTTGTTTGGGCATTCTACTTCAAACCCATATATAAAAAAATTTCATCAGTGATAAACCATTAGGTCAAAAAATAATGTAGTAGTGGATTATTTGTTGAAAATTTAGCATCATAGACATTTTGAAGGTGAAAACACATTGTACTGAATCAGAGTTGAAAATAAAAGATTGTGTAGTTTCCCATGAGAGTCAACATATAAGAAATTAGGTATAATGAAGTTATGAAATAATGGCATGTGTTGTTTTTCTTTTTTTCCTTATAGACTTCATAATATTATCAAAACTGATAACTGGTCATATTTTAATGGATTAGTTGACTGCTGAGGTGAAGATATTTTTGCATGTTTTTATGAGTTTACTTTAAAAATCTTTTAGCAATATAAGGAGTCTATTTTTGTTTTTGTGTTTAACTTTATTCAGAATAAGAACTGAATGAGAGAAAAAATTACACTTGACATGATTAACAAGCTTATCCAGAAGAGTGTTGAAGTTACTTGAATCTTTTAACTTCTTGTAATTCCTTTTTGAAGATTACGAGTAGCAAAATGTTTTCACTTTAGGGTATGGATGATCCTACGATCAAATCTGCATCAATAGACATCCTTTCATATATTGTGGACTTCAGTCCACCAATGGTTCGTGAATATGCTCTACAGCAAGGAACTCCGCAAGATGATGTGAGTAGAAGTCTTACTTAAACTATGATGATATTGACGTTACATTGCTTATAAATATCAAAATGATGTGAGTAGAAGTCTTACTTAAACTATGATGATATTGATGTTACATTGCTTATAAATATCAAAATATGGTCAATAAAATTATTCTTCATGAATACTTTGGTTTTTATGCAGTTTCTAACCACTAGTATATTGATAGTTTTTGCATTAATAATTGAAGTGTTTGAGCATATTGTTCTTAAAAATATTTGTATGTTCTTTAAAAATGTGCATGTTTTGGACATTCATTACTGCATTACCTTTTATTGCCTTTTTATTATTAATTTTTATTTTTTTTATTATCTAGTAAATGCATATCAGTCTTGCCACACAGTCTCAGTCAAATTGACAGAGTTCATAGTCATTTTGTACTTGTTACAGTTTCCATACTATAACTTTTAGTACAGTACGTATACCTTAACCAAATTTGGCAGACTTTCAGTAAGCAGTAAGACTTTTTTACACGAAAAATTAGATTTTTTAATGAAGTATTTGTAGTAAAGATTTGTCTGGGAATATGTCAACTTGTCTTGTTTACTAGTCCTGAGTGTAAAGTGATTTTCATGCTAAGATTAAAAATACTTTTATTCATCTGAATGTAATTTCATTTTTGTAATCTCTAAAACCTCCTAGATAATTATAAAATGTTATTTTTTAATAAAACTATATTTTATGTGTTATCTTCTTTACCCTAACTCTGTATTCGAGGTTGGTCAATTTGACTGACCTCATAACCACCAAAAAAAAAATCAAATAAATCTAAGTCACCCTTTTTCATTATTTTAGAAATTTCAAAATGTAACATAACACTACATTTGTTTATCATAAGTATGATTGTACTTATAGTAGTAATGGAACACATGTGCAATAAAAAAAAAAAATCTCAAACACACTGTTGAGTAGTAAACAAACCAACTGCAAATAGCAAAGCACTTGAAAAAGTCAGTAGAGTAAAAATAAAAATTTCACAAAATCACAACTAACGTTGTTGGAAAGGCATAGCTCTCTCCTGCCTTCGCTTTATGCAAATCTAAATGCACATGATTGAATTATGTTACTTTGGCTAAAAGCATTTTTCTTATAACCTTGGTAATAACATGTAATAACAATAACCATTTTGCAACACTACTAACGAGCTAACAATTCACACCACTAGTAGCCACATTCTATGATTACGAGCATGCTCTGTAGGTTGCCAAGTAACAACCCGACCTCATATCATATGTGGGTGTACAATTTCTTATGCGCATGTGCTACATGATCAGCCTGCAGTTGTATCAGCTAGATAAAAAAAAAATGTGGACTACATAGATTCTCTAGATCTAGGTTCTAACTGTAATGTAAACTTTGAAAGCGAAGTTTTTAGTTCAATACATCTAACTCGAGAGTTCTGTGTTGGACAGAGCAATTCTGTCATAGCAGTCGGTGCCTAAGACGTGAGTCTCATATGTGAGGATGAATGCTATCACTTCAGAACTCTGAAACAGATTTGCTTGAATGCTCTGGACTGAAAACAAGAAGGATAAGTTGTATAATTTACCTTTGCATTATTTTCAAACTAAATGTGGTCTATTGAGATATGGTTAGATACACTAATGGCGAATATGCAAAACAAGCCTTAGCCATTAATCCAGCCAAAGAAAAAGCTGCCATCCTGGCTAGATGGAAGAAAAAACTATAGCAAAGATATCAGCAAAAGCCAGGACATGTCAAGAGATAGCTATAAGAAAAGCTACGAGAAGGATAGGCCTAGAACCCAGTCACTCTTGAGACTTAGCACCAAGAAAAACTACAAGAAGAATAGGATAAGAGCCCAGTCACTTTCGAGACTTAGTACCAAAAAAGGCTATGAGACAAGTGTAAAAAAATTAGGAAGTAGGAATGGCAGCACTTAAAAGTAAGGAAACAAGGTAGGAATGGTTGGGATAACATTTCAACACGGTTTTTGACACAGTGCAACCTCAAAGTGGATGTGGCCAACGTTCTGTATTTTCTACTTTATGTTTTGCTTTGAATTGAGTTTTATCAGCAACTAATCCCATCTAAATACTGAACAATTTTAAAATTTTCAAAAATCAGCAGTTTTAATACTATTCGTTTGGCCCAACCCTTACTTATTTATCAGATAGCCATTAATGTCTCCCATAAGCAAAATATGACTATTGAAGCTTCCTGTCTCACTTCCGACATCAACCCCCCCCCCCCCCCCATTATGATGTCATGCATTTTGTTAGGGTCATATAATTTGATTACATACAATAGGAAAATTTAGCTATATACACCTTTTATTTAGTTTGAACAATTACAAAGTTACAAAAAGCACACTAAGTATGAATGGGTAGAAAGATGGCCACACTGAATTTGAGGTTTCGCTGTGTCAAAAACCACCAAGTGATGCAATGTTATCCTGCCCATTCCTACCTTGTTTCCTTACTTTTTTGGTGCTCCCATTCCTACAAATTAAGTTTTTTATTTAAAATTTTTATACATGTACTAGATAGATTTAAACTCGTAACAGTATACATCTATTTATACTTAAACTTTTATTGTTTTATTGCCCCTTTGAACCATGTAATAAATTAATATTCCTGCCATAAAATTTGTAAATCAATTGGTGAACATAGAACTCATGTTACCCTATCGAATTACATAATGCACAGGCTACTTGTGAGTGTACTTCATGAAAATATTTTCATTATTATTATGTGTTTTACATAATCTAACTTAAAAGTTTCTCATTTTTACATTTTAGTTACTTTTGTAATAATGAATCAAGAATACACATGAAAAACAAAAAATACAGTACTTCTCTGGGTCTTTTTTTTTTTTGCTGTCAACTGTTAGTGACACTTAACCATACTTTTTTATACTAATGGTACTACTGAACTAAATATTTTTTTTATTTAATTAAATAATGCACCAAAGATCAGAATAATAGCCTACAAAAAGTAGACAATATCCATAATTATCACGATTTTTCTGGCTTTCTAACTATGCGACAAGAGCTGTTAAAAATTTGGCTAAGCTCATCAGTGTGTTTCCCATTGAAATAAAATTTGAACTGGAAGTGAAATAGGCTATTCTCTGTACAGAAAACAATGTAATATAATATATAATTTGATATATTAAAACCTTGGCTTTCTGTTGGTTATAAATAATATAGTATTAAACATCAAAGAGAAACATTGACACTTTCTGAAAAAGAGGATGTGACAAGTGGGCATGGCAAGTGGATTCTGATTTTCTATGTGATGGCTCTATAGTCAAATCAGATTGAAGGCTATAAGCATTATGCTTTGTCTGAGCAATGACAACATTATAATGAGAAATGTAAGCTAAATTTTGTATTTCTTGAAGTGGTGATAAATAAATTATCACACTAGGGAGAAATTGTGTTTTTTTTTTATATATTGCCTTATAAAATTAAGAATTTAATACTAATGTTAAAATTGGAGTTATTAGGTATGGTTTATGCCAAGTTTATTTATATATACCATGATAAGAAAGTAGTTTAATTAAATTTTGAATGCAACTCACTAAAACCTCCGGACATTTGCACAAAATGATGCCCGTTTTTAAAGAGTTGACCCTCTCCATACAGGCTTCTTATGGCTCTTGTTAATTTAAAATGTGCATGTCACGACATTTCACAAAACTACATTCAAAATTTATTTAACTTGATTATCAATGTATTTCAATGAAGTGAACATCAGTGTGTTATTTATTATTCAAATTTTATAGTATGTAAGTTTTACTTTCTTAGTTTCAAAAAGAAATATTTAAAAACAATCTCAATTTTCACTTCTTGTGATGCATGTGTGTACTCTCAGTTTTCCATTTTAGTTTGTATAATTTCAGTATTATAATTTTTACACTGTCAAATTAATTATAAACACTAGCTATAAATAATGGCATGGTCAAATATAAAAGTTCAACTTCTGAACTTCTCCATTTGCTGAGATACAATTAGATTTTTCCAGCCCACACAGAGGCCCTTCCCATCTTTCCTTAACTTTCAAGGCAGTTTTCAAAACCACGGGTTCTTAGTTAATGTATATGTTTATAAACAGTAGAAAGAGCTTTTAAATTTGTCAAACAATAGACTCTAGTTGAGGGAAACTGCTTGATGTATGTTAAGTGAAGTAGTTGCCCATAGTAGGAATGGAGTTTTGTGACCTTTTTGTAGCTCTGACAGAAAGCAGTTAAATGGTAGTAGTTTGAGACATTCTGTTCTAGTGACTGATATATCTTGTGTTCTAAAACGCGTATTTGAAAGGTGCATGAATTTTTGCTTGGGCAAAATGCTCCCATAGGTCATGCTGTGCAGTATATTGTTGCATGAGAATCTGTTGATATGTTCCCACTGTGATTTATTGCTTTACACAGAAGAATAAACTGTATTGTGGTATAAGTATGGCAATAAAAACATAAGATTAAAAAAACAGAGATGTGAAAATGTTACAGTTGAAACTTATGAATATCATTAATTGAAGATGTGGTAACAAATAATGCATTTAATGAAGAAAACAAGTATTATTAATTTTATTTCGTAATTTTCAACTATTTATTTTACTGTACCTTGATTATTTTGCTTCAGTTAGTATTAGGGTAATGAAAATAAGAGATAAATATAAAGTTTCACTGGAAATGAAATTTGAAAATCATTTAGCCTCGTTCTAGAGGATATCAAACTGTAAGATGGTAATAAATATTTTTATTTTTAGCTTGAATATCATTTTCAATCAAAATGACTTAGTAAAGGCTTCAGAAATTCATGGACAAATCTTTAGTAAAAAAATACTTTATTAAAAAATCAGATTTTTTTGCATACAAGAGGCTTGTAATGTTTACTAAAAGCTTGCTAAATTTTATGAAGATATACCTAATATGTTTAGAGTTATGTATAGTTTCATGGGTACATGGTATAGTTATAAGGTTAGTCAATTGGGCCAGGTCAACACAATTGAGACTGCATACTTGATTGTTTTTTTGAATGTGTCCTGAACAGATATGCAATCTAAGATAAATTTTTGATAAATAGTCTCAAATGTCTCATTTATCTGATGAATGCTGCCTAACTGTTAATAAATATATAAACTTTACATTTTAAAGTAACATAAAGTGGAAATTTTGTCTCCCCCCCCCAACACCATTGTTTTAACTGGAGGATGTTCTGTTTATTGGTTATATATTTTTTTTAGTGTAACCTGTTTACACTAAACCTGGTAACCTATTAAAGGAATTTATTATTCGAATGTTAGAATGGTTTGAACCCATATTGATGTAACTGTTACAACCACTCACGCCATTTGTTGATACATAGTTTCTAGTGTGATGCACTGTGTTGTTTATATGGGCAAAACCTTTACTTGTTTTATAATCCGGTATATGATCTTTGAATATTCTTTGTCACTGTCATATATGTTTCTAAAGAAATTGAAAATTATTACTGCTATATAACCAGTATAAATGACCTTAAGAAAAATTTTCCAAATATTTTATATTCCTTTATTAATTGAAGTTATTTTCTTCAAAGGATCAGTTGATTATCAACATTATCATAGAACAGATGATATGTGATCTTGACCCAGGTAAGTGTGTTATTGTTGACATTAAGTACATGCTCATTTTATTTATTTTCCAATTAGAATATATAATTCTATATTTCTTCTGTGAGAAAAATGTTTAAAAAATGTTTTTGTGATAGAAATTACACATGTATATATATAATTATCAATGAGTATTAAAAAAAAAATGTGTTTGTTTAAATATAGTGTGTCCTGTACCATTTTCTTGCACTTGGTAAATCTTTAAACCTCATTTCGGACGTCTAAAGATTTTCTGAAACTGCTGTTACATTCAAGTATACATTATTTCCTACATTTAGATCATAAACTTCCACTTACAGTTTATTTGGTTATTTTGTGCTGTTTCAGAAATTGGAAAACATTATAACTTTCAAGTTGATGTTTGGTAAAAACGATGATTTTGAAAGTAGCACGTATTTTACTATTTATATATGTGTTATAGCTGACTTGATTTTGCTGACTTTCAGTTTGATGGTGATTATATGCTTAGTAATTTTAACTTGATGAAAATGTATCCATCAATAAACATGGTAGAAATGATAACTTTAATAATTATTGCTTATGTAGTAATGTTTTACAGGAGATTGCTTTCATTGTTTGGTTTTATACTTAGTATCTTGAATTTAAGGAAATGTAAAATTTATAATTTTTCAGATCTTGGAGGTGCAGTACAACTTGTAGGAATTTTGAAACTGCTTTTAGATCCTGACAATATGTTAGTTACAGTTAATGTAAGTCTTTTTAAATACTGATAGTTAATTTTGTGGTGTAAGTTTAACTTAATCCTTCAAAATTGATGTTTTTTGAGTTACTATAGGTGCATGAAGAGTAATTTTTTATATTTAATTGGAGTTTTTAATTCAAATTCTTTAAATATCTGCCAAGATTATGATACTTTTAAGTGTTTAGAAATGTTTCTTCTGCTTTTGTAGACTGATTTTAAACATTTGAAAAAATAAAAGGAATTTGTCTGTTCTTTTGTTTTTCATTGTATTTGTGTTGAGGAATAGGGTTACAGGTTGTATATTAATAGTTGATCTTCCCCACTTAAATGACTTTATTATGTATTAGGTCGTCAAGCAAAAAACATGTTGATGTCCTCTTTGACACTTTCCACATTTGCACGAGTTGTTCCATTAAGATGGTGTTGCAGTGAATGAGACAGATGGTAATCTGATGATGCCATATCTGGAGAATGTGGTATGTGGGGGAGAACTTTCCAATTCAACTCCATAATCTTGTGTTGTGCAGAAGAACACCTTTCCGATAGACGAGTGAAGGGCATTTCAGATGAAGGGCTTGATTTAAACATTCCAGTTACTGACTATAGATCTCTGCATTGACAGTTCACTGTAGATTGAGGGGTTTGAAATGAATTATTCTTTTGGTGTCTCACCAAATTCAAAGCATCACATTCTGCAGATGGAGTCCAGGTTTTGGGGTCAGAAGTGGTTTTTGCCTAAGACTGAGCCATTGTTTTTAGCGTTTAATATTCACATAGAGAATCCATTTTTCATCAGCGGTGACAATTCTGTCCAAAAATGGTTCACGTGCATTATGCACCAGAAGAGATGAAGCAATGTTCACACTTTGGAAACGATTGTCATAGGCGAGTTCGCGAGGCACCCAAACACCTTCTTTATGGAGTTTTCCCATATTCCTTAGATGTTTAGGCACTGTTTCATGAGAGACATGGAATTTCAGGGCCATTTCACGAGTGTGTTGCCTTGGGTTAGACTCAACAAGCGTCTTTAGAGCATCAATATCAATTCCAACATGTCGACCCCTGCCATCACAGTTTTTAAGGCTAAAGTCACCTGAACGAAATTTGTTGAACCATCGATGACACTTAGGAACGTTCAAAACATTTCCACAAACTTCTTTAATATTCTTTGTGCCTACAGAGGCATTGTTTCCCTTCTTGTACTCGAACAGCATTACATGCTGAATGTGTATCTCGTCGTGTGCCATCACTATAAGAGTATACTAAACTTTACACATTATATAAGCTACACTAACATGATGTTTAGATGGTTTGTTTAACTATTATACATGATGTACATTTTGTTTTTGGTGGGGGGTAATGAAAGTGTTCCAAAACGCGACATTAATTTCTTGACGACCTAATACTAAGTGCTATCACTTATTTAATGATAGCTACCATTTACAGCCCAGTATCTTGTGTCACTTTCAAGAGAAATGACATCATTAAGTTTTAGAAGATTCACTTTGATCTCCACTCAAATAACCTACAAAATAAGACTATTTCAGATATATAATTTTGTTTTGATGCATATTTTTTTAACATTTGGATAATGAAATGAAAATCGAAACTGCTATCCCTAATTTTGATTTTACTCCCCGTTAAAAATTTTATGAAACATAGCCTCAAACTTGTTTTCTTCATACAGTTTTGTTTCTTACTTCTATTCAGGTTGTTGATAGTTTGAAAAGCTTTTTTAAAGTTATTGTTATCAGAAACTAAAATTCAAGTAACTACATTTGTTTGTTTTCAACTTCCAACTTCTAAAGCTAATAAGATGAGTAAGTATATAATCTGAAAACTGATTATTTTATTCGACAAAATTTGCTTGCTGTAAAACTCCCATTCTTTTTCATATAAATTTTAAATTTGTATGATTAGTTACTAAGTTAGAATCCATTCTTGATTGCATGCCTTCAGAAAATCTACCTATATAATTGTTTTGTATTTTCTGTATGATATGTAAAGGTAATAAATGTTATTTTATTGATTCCCTTCTCATTTATTTATCTTTTTGAAGTAATTACCTTGGCATTTTCCTTTTCACTTTGCAAGAACTTTCACTTGTATTTTGAAACTTTGGAATATTACATTTGATTTCTCTTGCTTAGATATTAGTTGGGGTTCTTTTTGAAACAACTGTACATGATTTCTAAATGGAGTATAGAAGTAACTTTGATAAACAAGATAAATGCACTATATTTGTATTAGTTTTAATTATATTTAAGGTATTTTAGTGCAAAATGTATTTCAACAAAGTAACTACATGACATCATTAGGCCTGCAGTTTTATTATTGCTTTCAGGTCAGTGGTTATGGGCATGTTGGATAATGGTATAGTGGGCAACTTTGTCATGAAATAGTTTTTGTTTTAATTATATATTTACCAACAGTATATAATTTAGGTTCATAAACATTATATGGTTATCATGTTTTATGTTTTAAATGTATGTTTCAAATGTAGTTTCCTTTATGAGTTGGTAATTCTTATGAATGCAAAGGCAGAATTAGATTATATAATTCCATCAGCTAGAAAGGGTTATCAAGTGTTTTTATTTGTAATCTGGTTTAACATGTTATATTACCATGTGTAAAACCATATAATAATTAATGAAATGCATCCTCATTATTTTAATTTTTTTTTTAAGAAGAGAAATTATCATATACTGGTTCAATATGCATATTCCACATTTTTTTGTCTTATGCAGAGATACAAAATAATTGTGAAAACCAAAACTTTGTAAGTTTAACATGCACTATATTCAACTAGTCCTTCCCCTTTTAATGTTGGAAAAAATATCCAGAGGTTGTAACGTATTTCTTTGAAAGCACAAATACTAAGTTTAAGAAATGTAAGGAAGTAATCAAAAGTTAAAATTAAGGTTCATACAGGAAAAAAAAATTTTATCATGTGGAATCGTGTTCATTCACGATAGTATTTTTGTTTTTAGAAATCGGAGAAGACAGATTTTCTCAACTTCTTTTACAAGCACTGCATGCATGTGTTAATAGCACCGGTGTTAGCTAATACAGCTGAAGAAAAGCCAAGTAAAGGTATATTCCTAAACATTGAGTAGATTTGTGAATTCTGAAAAGTAAGATATAACAGTCAGAGTGACATTTACAACCTAAGTTGATTTAACTCCATTAGAATGTTTGTATTATTAAAGAGATTTTTCCCCCCTTTCTTTCTTTCAGTTGTGACTTTTAACCACTGTTGGTTGATTTTATTACAAATATTGTGATGAGATATACGTATGTCACAAATTTGGATTAGGTTGATTTCTTTTGAATTCTCACACACCTGTAAAATTCAGAATTTTGTTTAAAACTGAAATATAATGAAAATTATAGATGACAAAGACAGTTTATAAGAGTTAAGAGAAGTCTTTACCAAACAGTTGTTGCTTAAAAAATAATGTATTTGAGGTTTCAGAGAAGAACTTTGTTTTAACTTGAAGACTGAGTAACAAATTGAAATTTGTTATATATTATAAAGCACAGACACCTTAAATTTATGTGCTTGTCTGTGCACACAGTCAATTGAATAATGTTGTGATTTTATCTTTCAAAATAAGATCAAGGGAACTAGAAAGTTTTCGTTACGGTATTTCCCTCCTCTCACAAGATTAGCTTTTCTCATTTTATGGACCTGGCATGGCCAGGAGGTTAGGGAGCTTGACTCACAATCTGCTGGTTGCAGTTTTGAATCCCTGTCCCACCAAACATGCTCACCTTTTCAGCCATTGTGGCATTATAATGTGATGGTCAATCCCCCTATTTGTTGGTAAAAGAGTAGGCAGTGGGTGGTGCTGACTAGCTGCCTTCCATATAGTCTTATACTGCTAACTCCACCAATAAGACATCACTACTATCACGTGACAAATGTGACTCTCTCTATGCGGCACTACTGAACCACCATTTCTCGTTTGGCAGTGCTTCAGTTCAGACATCTTTCTTTTTGCTCATTTACTTCTCGAAGTGGTTTAACTTAATTTACTTTATTTTCAGAATTTTTTCATTTTATTTTCAAAAGCGTTTGATTTACCTGTGTTTTGCCATAAATTTTTTGCTTGTTTGTTTGGTATCAAGCATGAATTCTGAAGTTAACCTTACCACTTCAGGTACATCTCATTCGTCTGATGCCATACTTCAGGCCACAGGTATGGGCGACCTGACAGGGTATTTATCAATCTTTATTCACAGAGAGATAAAGCATTATATGGGACAACATTTGTCTCCTGATGCATGGTATGCCAACAACAGTTCCGGTGACTCCTTGGTGGGTTCTGGTTTGGTAGGACCTCGTTTGGTGGAGCCCTTTCATCTCCGATGTTTGGGTTCACAGATTTTTGTCAGAGGGATTTGTCATACCCTTTTTTTACCCTTGTCCTGCATGCCTGTTTCCTTTTCTCCTCTTCGGGATCCCTTGTCATGCCGGCATCTATCCAAGGCAGTGAAAGACCTCCTCACACAACATGCTATTGAGCCTGCTCCATGTATTACATGGGGGTTTTACTCCCTCTTTTTGTGGTTCCCAAAAGGACTGGGGACTGGAGGCCTGTAAACGATCTGTTCCATCTCCATCGACATGTTCACATCCCATGCTTCACCATGGAATCCTACCTTACTATTTGGTGGGCTTTTTCTCTAGGTCTTTGGATGACCAGAATGGACGTTTCCAATGCTTATCTGCATATTCCCATATTGGAGCGTTCTCGTCATTATCTTCAGTATGTTCATCGTGGGATGGTTTACGAATTTTGTATTCTACCCTTCAGGCTGGCTTGAGCGCTGTATGTTTTCTGTCAGATGGTGCAAACCTTTGCACTACATCTTCATGCCCTGATGTTGCACTTTTACATGGACGGCTAGCTTCTTCTCACTCCTTCGATCTGTCATACTTGTCAGATTGTTCTCATGGCTGCTTGGGTGGGCTGGTTGATCAAATTGGAGAAGTCCTTCCTTCATTCTACCCAATACCTCATTCATATTCATCCGGGTGTTTTCCTCAACACCCATCTCATTTGGGCACAACCTTCTCCTCTCTGGCTCTGTTCTATGGAACCGGCCATTTGGAACACCCTGTATGCTCCTTCACTTTCTGCTCATGAGGTTATATAGCTTTTACTAACATTGGATCTTCTCTTTTGGGCCCATGATCATCACATTTTTCTGATGGCATGTCACATCCCGGGTGCTTTCAACTTTGTAGTGGATCATCCTTCCCAACCTGACCAGGTGTACCCGATAGAGTGGTCCCTTCATCCCCTTGTGTTTCAGTGGCTTTGCAATCTGTGGGGTATTCCTCATATCAATGCATTTGTCACTGCCCTCAATCACCAGTTACGTTTCTTTCGGCCCCTGGTTCCCCATCCTTGGGCTTTGACTATAGATGCCTTCAGACAAGCTTGGCCGAACAAGTTCCTTTATGTTTACCCTCCTATCTGATTACTTCATCGGGTAATCTCCCTCATCCATACCACTCTGTGCAAAGTCCTTCTGGTTTCCTTAATTACTGCAGCTACAGTTGTTCCCTTTTGTCCCTTTTCCTTTATTCCCCAAACTTCTTCATCAACCCCAGTCGCATCCTGCACTTGATGTTCTACATCTTCATGCCTGGCTTTTGTCCGGTCCCTGACAAGGAGATCCAGTTTCTCACATTGGGTGGCATCTCAATTAGTTCATTCCGTTTGTCCTTCATCCATGACTGTGTATCAGCAGAAATGGAAATTTTTTCACACCTAGACCCTGGCTTGTGGTATCTTCGAGTTTCTTACATGGTCTTTTTGAGAAGGGTTTTTGGTCTCCTTGATATCGGGTTATTGGACAGCCCTATCTATCCCATACTTTCTGTTTTTCCTATTACCACAGGGTCTTTTTTTCCCCTGTCCTTGCCATTCTGATATGTTATTTCCAGATCCATCAGCCGCCTAGGTGTCCAATACTTCCAGATTGGGACTAACATGGTACTCTATTCCTTTACATCCATTTGGGCCCATTGCGTCAAACTCTTTGTTTCATTTATCCCTCAAAGCATACTTCCTTCTCCTCTTGGCCTGCTGGGGTATTGTCAGTCGGATCTGTTTGCTATCAGCATCACTCACACACTGTACTACTAAACCTCTCTTCTCCTTTATCTAGATAGTTCCTTCCTTCTTGAGAAAGTTAACTCCTCCTTTTCACTCATTTTCCTTCCTTCTATTTCTCATCTCTATTTTCTTCCTGATCCAGATAGACTTCTATGCTTGGTGTGTGCCCTTCATTGTTATGTTGCCCACATGGCTTCCTTCAAGGGTTCCTGTTCCCATCTCTTTATCCCATGGCAACCCTTTTGCTCTCTGGATCTTTCTCTCTTTACCCTTAGTGATTGGGTTTGTTGTTTAATCTAGTTGGCTTATTCCTCCTTGTCTCTTTACGAACGTGCTTTGTTCCGTGTTACCTCCCATTAAATCTGACACCTCATCATTTCCCTTGCTTCTCATCTTCATCAGCCTTTGGAGGAGATTTTGCAGTCGGGCATGTTGACCACCCCTAAGACGTTCATCTCTTATTACTTTTATCACATCACAGTTTCTGCTGCCTCGGGGTATCACCTACCACCTGTACCTATACTTCTGACCTGGGTATGGCTATGACACTAGGTAAGTCTTTATTAATGCTTTCTTTTCTTTCAGGGGCCCTTGCTTTGAATTTCATCTCTTGGATCCTGCTCTGTGGCGAGTGTTGCCTGAACAGGTTTTCTTTAAACACACAAACAAATCCGCTATGTCAATTTGCGTGCTCTTTCCATGACTCCGCACACTCACCTTTGAGATCACTGATATTTGCTTCATAAATAGCTGCCCATCCCTGCCATATCTTGAATTAAATCGGTATGGTATGTTTTTCACCCATTGCACTTTACTTGGGTGTAACCGTTCCTCTGGACTCTCCAACACATTCCCCCCCTTCTTCCAGTGGAGTATGGGAGTCCTTACCACTTGCCAGTTCCGAGGCATCCTGTTGAATGGGTTCCACATAGATGGCTATAGCCATTCAGTTCAGAGTAAGGCAGTGGTGTTCTGCTGGTGTAGAAGGCCTAAAATCATCCGGATTGAGTGATATACCACACGAGACATCTAAATATAGTTCACCCCTTCAGTTGGCTGGTTTTGGATATCGAGTGAACCAATCATCTTAAGTCTTCACACAGGTTTGGGGTTATCCATCTTCCTCCCTCAATTCTTCTCTCTGTGTAGTGGGTTATGAAGAGTATACGTGGGCACTCCCTCATTCTCTTTTGCAACAAGGATGTTCTGGACCAGTCTCATGGTCACAGGAATTGATTGTATGTGATGGACTTCCCTCGGGTACCGTATGATGCATTCCCAAATCCCTGGCTTAATGCTAATCCTGTGTCGTGCCTTGGAGTCTGTGTTTTCCTCACATCCACAATTTTGGGGTTTGAGGTGAAGCCGGTATGATCCTCATCCTACCCTCATGTAGATGTCAGTACCCAGTGAGGAAATTTTGGATGTAGTTGACTTACCGAGTATGGTCCACCGCATTCTAGCCATTCTTCACCATGGGACACATCCTCCATTACTCACTTTCCTTCCGTGGGATTGAGTTTCTATATTTATCTTGTTGGGATCACTTTCCTGACTTATCCTCTCTTACTTGGATGTGCTCCCTTCCTTTTCTGCCATGTTTGTTCCTAGCTGTTTATGGCGAGGAGATACCTGGTTCAGAAGTGGTGCGTTGCCCCTCCTCAGATCCTCTGATCTGCTTTCCTCATCCACAGAAGTATCCTTCGGACACTTTCGAGGGGTACGTCTGTTCTTCCCTCGCACTCCGAATGGGGGGAAGTACCATATCAGAATTTATAGTTTTCCTATTCTGAAAATGTATTTCTGCTAGGTACTTCCCTTTGCTCACACTTCTCACCATCCTCCCCACAATCTTCTGGTGCTTACGTCATCTGCCAAACTTTGAAGTGATGGTTCGGTAGTGGCACATAGAAGGAGTCACATGCATCACGTGATAGTAGTGCTCTCCTCTTGGTAGAGAGATGATGCATGAGAGACAGGTTGGAATCTTTGATTTCAACAGGAGGATGGAAAAGGCTTGTGGAATGCATTATAAAAAAGTTTGCATACAGATGGCAGCACAAAATGGGAAAAGCTAATCTTGTGAGAGGAGGGAAGTACCTATCGGAAATACATTTTCAGTATAGGAAAATTATAACTTTCATGTAAGTGGAAACCTTTCTCCTTAATAACTTTTAGTAGAATTTACTTGGACTATGCAGATTCTGTTTGAAGATAATCAGGCTAAATTCTTTTTTTATCCAATTAAATGGATTGAAGTAAATGCCATGATTTAACTTTCATTCTACCAGCTAGTCAAACAGTTTCCACCCAAAAATGGTGTTTTCCATGAAAAGGTACTTTAGTAGCAACAGCTTGAATTGGTTTTTAATTTATAGCTTTAATTTTTGATTAGTTATTTTATAAAGATAAAAAGAAATTCCTATAATATTTCACCTGAAATATGCTAATCCTAGAACCAGAATGGGTTATTTTACTTAAAAGATAAACTATGAATTAAGAGTTCTCTGAGAAAAACTTAAATATTAAAAGTTATGGTGAATTACTTGTTGGTGCTTCTTATTCCACACATATGTCTCCATGTATGTATAATATGTTTTGAAGTTAGATATGTTGTGAGAGCAACTTGAAAAAAAAATCATTGAAGTTCTAATTTCATTAAAGGATCTAGTCTCTTTTTTATATTACAAAAATAATAGCTTAGTAAAAAATATACTGAATAATAATTATAATAATAAAAGATTTTATACTGGAAATAATGTTATTATGTTAACACAGTATTTGCTATAGGTAATTATTGTTAATTTTTTGACATTTTTTTTATGTACTTTTTGTTTGTATATCCAGAGGATAGCCAGACAGCTCAGTTACTTGGATTAATATTGGAACTTTTAACATTTTGCGTGGAACATCACACCTATCACATAAAAAACTACATTCTTCACAAGGACTTGTTAAGAAGGATTCTCGTCCTCTTGAAATCTAAACATACATTCCTTAAACTTTGTAAGTGTACCATAATGTCTAATTTGTATTTGTGAATTTAGAAATAAGAATTACATTTATAATCTTTCATATTTTGTTTCTTGACTCTTATAGTTGATTTAGATCAGTAATAAAAAAGTACTTTTTTTAATGAAAGTGTTTGTAGTATATTTAGTTTCTCATGATATTATTTATGTGCTGAAACTTGGTACAAAAAAAGTATTTGATTACAAAGGTGATTATTTAATTATACTAAAGATATATTCATAAAAAACAAGGGTTATTTTTGTGATTATTCTCCAGTCTTTCTTGAATTATATGTAAGAGTTATTGTCAGATGCTTTAAATTTTCATAACAATGAACTGTTTTCCACTTTGTTTTATATAGGTGCTGTTCGTTTTATGAGAAGGATCATTGGTCTTAAAGATGAATTTTATAATCGATACATTATTAATGGCAATCTTTTTGCTCCAGTTGTCGAAGCTTTTAAAAGAAACAATGGTCGTTACAACCTTTTAGATTCTGCCATTTTAGAATGTTGAATTTATAAAGTGGTTAGTATTCTTTTTCAATTTATTTTTCCTGATTACAGTACTTAGCTAAAACCAGATATTATCGTCAGCTCTAAAAAAAATATTTTCAAGAAGAAAAATAGACCAAAAAGTAAAACAAACATTGATTTATTAACCAAAAACAGTTAGTAGTCTTTAGAAAAACATTAGTTATGTTTCAAAATTAGTTAAAAAATAAATGCATTCATAGGACTACTAAATTACAGTATACAGGTTAATTTCTTTTAGAAAGGCTTATAGTTATAGAAATGCTTATTATAATAAATAGAATATAAAACAATTTTTTTTATTTGTATTCATTTCAATGCACAATTTGTTGTAAATTTTTGTGTTTCAGGATAAGAAAATCATTCTTGCTAAATTACAGACACTGTAAAAATCTGTATCTGGGAAGTTTTGAATATGGATACTTCAAATCAACTATTAAACCTAAAAGTATTTGAAAGAGATTTTAGTGTAAGGGGTAAAGTTTCTCTATGTACACTTTATTCTAATTTTGTTGGCCTGACATGGCCAGGTGGTTAGGGTGCTTGACTCACAATCTGAGGGTCGCGGGTTCAAACCACCGTCCTGCCAAACATGCTTGCCCTTTCAGCCGTGGGGGCATTATAATGTGATGGTCAATCTCACTATTTGTTGGTTAAAGAGTAGCCTAAGAGTTGGTGGTGGGTAGTGATGACTAGCTGCCTTCCCTCTAGTCTTGCACTGCTAAATTAGGGACGACTAGTGCAGATAGCTCTCATGTAGCTTTGCGCAAAATTAAAAACAAAACAAAAAAACAATCTACTTTTGTTATTAAGACCATATTGAGGTTTTTAATGTTCAGGTACTAAAAATGAAACTACATAGATGACTGAGAAGATTTATCAATGTATGGTTCTTTTGTAACTATTTGACTTTACTGATTGTAGTTCACTGGCAAACACTATCTGTAGAAAAGTGCTAAAATATTCGGGATTAGTAAAAAAATAGGTACTTAGAAGAAAAATTTTTTAAAGTTGAGAAATTGTATTTAATCAACTATTAGGAGGAAACAGTGAGTATAATGTTTAGAGTAAATGTAAGCAGTTGAAGTGCTGAAGGTGAAGAGTATTATGCTCAAAACATTGTAAGGAGTTTTCTTTTATCTGGATTTAAACACTGCAAAACTTTTACCATCATGTATTTATTAGATCATTGAAATATCTTTAGTCCCAAATATGATTTTGATAAAAATCATTGTAACATCATTTTGTTTTGTATTAGAGGTTTCCTTCTTTTTTGTTCTTCCTTCCACATACTAGCATGCGAGTTTCCTTATCTCTTGTGTCACTATGCTTTTCATCTTCACATCATTCTTTTTGGCTGTTTTTTCTCTCCTCAAATTATAAATATTTGCGCAAGTTTTAATACTGTTGTTTTTTTAGGTCCCCAAAGTATCTGTTATGATGTAGTCTTAAATTTCATTGGGAAAATAAAAAAAACATAAACAAGTTGATATGTTAGTACAAAAATAGGTTATTCTGTGAGAACTTTTGTTAATTATGAACTTTCATAGCAACTGTGCCATTAATATTTTGATTGGATTTAATTTATATATTTGTTTATATTTTACTTGCAGGAAGATATAAAATCCTTAGGTGCAAATGTAGCTGAGAGGTTTGGTAAAGCACTGGAAAAGATTGACTATGTGCAGACTTTTAAATCCCTTAAGTTAAGGTTTGAACAGCCACAAGAAAAACTGAAAGATAGGACATCACTTGAAAGGTTAGTATATCTGCAGATGCTGTCCGTGCTTATTTGGTTTGTATGAATAATTATTTGGGGGTGTCATATATTAGTTAACCTGAAATGAATATTATCCATATTTTTCATACTAAACATAACACTGACGTGATAAAGTGGAATAACTTGTTATAATTTTCTAGCGTGATTGAGCTTCTTAGTTGGGAGGAATAAAAGTAGTTCCAACTATATCAGTGAAAAGTTAAAAATTGATAATATTATATTCCAATTAAAAATGTAGCATAATAATAACATAGCAAGATAATTTTTTTGTCATGATTATCATGCCCTTCAGCAGAAAAATAGTTCATGTGTTGAGTTAGAAGATAATATAAAATTTGCTTTAAATTTACATTTTGCATTTCTCATTGCTGTTTTCATTTCTAGTGTTTCGCCAATTCTGCGTAATAACAGATACCGCAGAGATCCACGACAGCTAGATGAAGATGAAGAAATGTGGTTTAATGAAGAGGATGACTTGGAGGATGGAGAACCAATAAATGACACCATGAGCAAAAAGCTAGATGCAGAGTTTGATGAAATTGGGAAAATACTAGATAAAAAGGGTGGGTTATGATTTCAGAACTGTTTTAGACAGATTCTTAAGACATATTTGATAATATATCCTACATGCACCATCATAGAGTATATTCAGATGTGTCTAACTTTCCATTAATCCTCTGAATGCTGGTAGGTCAAATAGCACATCACAACTTTTTACAGAGTTACATTCAAAGTTGAATTAAACTGCTTTAATAGCAATATATATACCAGTAAATTTGGCATCAAAATACAGTTAAGGCTTTCAGCACAGGCTCAGTCCCTAGGACCAACCTCATAACCATTTTGTGCTTGTTATAGTTTTCATACTATAACTTTTAAATTATTAAGTGTATGATAACAAAATTCTGCAGAGTATCAGTAAACATTACAATGCTTTCATATACAAAATATCATTTTTTTTATTAACTCTTAAGGTTTGTAAAGCAACGTTTTTCTCATGCCATTTTTTTTCTTTGCATGTTGCCTATCCAACATGCAAAGTAATTTTCATTTTAAGATT